GGCCCCTTCTTCGGGACGCAGAAGCGATCTGGCGACAGGTAAGTCGCCAGGATCGCTTCTGTTGTAAAGCCGACAGTCGGCTCTACAAGTTTAAACAGAGTCCCGGCGGCAAAAGTCACCGGGAGTCTGTTTAAACAGCCCCGATGCTGGCAACGTACACTGGACGTCGTCAGTCACGAAGGGGTTAAAAAAAAATAATGGCCCCAACAACCGCTAAAATGTTTTGTGAACTGAGTGCTATGTTTTTGTTCTATATTGAAGTTAACCTATTCCTGTCCTGGTATTTTATTACACGTATTGTGGATGCAGTATGCATTAACATCCGTGAGCATATACATTCTATGTTTATACAGACTAAAACTGTATGTCCAGCCAAAACTTTTTTTCTTAATTTTGGATAGATAGACTTTACTGCTTTAAATTGTATGTGTGAAGTAGCACTAGACCTTGGGGGTGAGTGATAGGTCTGTGGCAGTTCAGCTTGTGAAGAATTCTCTGCGTTGGTCTGTTTAAGAACACTGATCACTCTATTAGTGTATGACATAAAACATAACCAACGTATTGTGGGGGATTTAGCCCCCCTTCCTTCAAGGATTTAGTGGCATTATATCTGTTGTTCATGAGCACTGAATATCATGTCCTAATATTATAAGTGTCTTGAAGTGTATTCTATACCTGCAGTGGCAAAGAAAGGTTTCATGGTTCTATTCAAGCATGTGAAGATTGTGGAAATGGATGAGGGGCTCCGTGTTTGAATAGAAAGTCTTTGAAACTCCAGCCGGTTGAAGAACATTGATCACTTTGTTACAGCATGACCTTACACCTTTTATGCCTTTGCAGGCACTGCAGAAAACACCATTATCATAATGGGACAAAGACGGCAGTGCCCATGACTAACAGATGTAACACTAACAAAGCCCTGAAGAAGGGAGAGCCCCACTCCCCATAAAACATGTTATGTGTACATGGACTACATTTCCCAGAGTGCTACAGAAGGAAGGGGAAGTGAGTTCTGAGTGAAGAAGGTTGCTGGATTAATTCCAGCATGGGAAGACGGAGGACACAGACTATCTCTCTGGCTGCACAGAAAATGACAGAGAGACTGTACTTACTTGTCACAGGTACAGTCCTGAAGTGACATCTACTACACTGTGGAATTTGCTGCTTGCTCCCGTGTGGAAGACAATCGTCTGAGACTACGGGTGAGGTGCCATCCTGTTGAGAGGCCATCGCAGGCGGCGACTTGGCCCAGACAAACGGACGCTGAGGTTGATGACTGGATCATCTGATGACATCAGACAACGCTACCTCCATCTCCTAATGCACGTGTGATAATGGATAATGATAATCCCTGATATATCTTCCGGCTGCAGACTGCCATCTCCCTCCATGTATGGGTGAAAAGCCTCTGAAGCTGGCCATACACCTTACAATTATCTGCAGATTTTCTGTGGTCAGATGGAAAAGGTGCAACAGATTCCTCCATCTACACTTGTGTGGATGGAGTAATCTCCACCTGGACCAATCTGTTGCACTTTTTCCATCTGACTACAGAAAATCTGCAGATAATTGTAAGGTGTATGGGCACCTTAACAGTATACACAGATTTCTCAACCATTTGTATTGGGTCCCAACGTTGGTTAGTTGAAGATACTACCACTGGCCAGTTGGTTAGGTACCCGGGTACATTGGGACTAAAGCTCGTGTATAGTTTGATCAGCGTTTTTTTTTTATGTTTGAACCAACTTTGAGACCTAATAGGATTTTTATTATATTGTACTGGTTTATGAACATAATCTATTACAAATATATAGTAGGTTGATGTGGCCCCCAGTACAGCCCTTTCTTATATTGTTGACCATCTGGTTATCCTAAAGTGACTTTAACATGAAAATAATTAGTCAAAGCCGTTACTTGTAAAAGAAGTGTTTAAATACTAACCTTTATCTTCACTTGGTACCTGTGCTAGCATACACCACTTTGTTCACCAGTTCCCAATCCCCAAAGTCTACTGGCAAACTGACACTTTTGAGAGTGTTGACCTCCAATTTCCCATTGCATATTTTACTGGTTTCTCCCTCTGTTTACTCTAGCAACACGGAGGGCGATATTTCAGATTATTCTGTAATCTGGTACTACATTTTAGGAGAGCATTTTTTTAGGAGGCTGTTATATAGTCAACCATTTATCCCATCACTATCATATTGGTTGACTGTGATATATGTTGAATGTCTCAATATTATGTCACCTTTTGTTCTAGACATGCCACTTTCTCTTAGGCTGGTAAATGGAGGGGATCGATGTGCTGGTCGAGTGGAAATCTTCTACAAGGGGGAATGGGGGACGGTGTGTGACGATTTTTGGGACAAGAGTGATGCACAGGTTGTATGCAGACAGCTGGGCTGTGGCTGGGCTGTTTCATCTCCTGGGAGTGCAAGTTATGGACAAGGGCAAGGACCAATCATACTAGATAATGTGAACTGCAGCAGTAATGAAGACTTTTTGTGGAATTGCCCCCATCAAGGGCTTAAAAGTCACAATTGTCGTCATAGAGAGGATGCTGGAGTACTTTGTTCAGGTACATTTTGATGGAAGTGAATTGTTCTGTTTTTTTTAGCTAAAGACACATACAATGACAATATAACTCAGGTGTGCTATTAGGGTGTAGTTATCTGAGCAGCCTTGGACTTCCTGTCAGCTTCCAGTCAACACAAGCCTATTCATGCCAATAGCATGATATTTTCACACATACAACGGCTGTTCAGTAAATATCTTGCACCATTCTCTGTAAATTCTAGAGACAGAAGTGGATGAAAGGTCTTTATCTCTGAGACATGCAATTCCCATGTTGGCATCAAAAATGTGTCTGTTTTCTAATGGATCTCGCTGGTGAGATTTCTCTGTCCTTATGAACAAATAAATGAACACATGACAGTGCTTATAACGCCTCATCACTCTATCCAAACCTGATAAAAAAAAAGTTTGGGCTATAGAAACACTTTAACACAAAATCATACTGCAGCTAATGTGTATTGTATCAAGAAGCAATCAAAATAATTTCTTTAATCTAAACATATAAAAAAGGGATCTATAAAAAAAACCTAAATGCAAATGTAGGCGGTTGCATTGAAAAGTTGATCCACCAGCTGAGTGTGAAGTGTGTGGAAATGTTTTTATTTAATACATTTTTATTGTCAATGTTTATATAAATACATAAATAAACAATATAACAAAAATAATTCCAAACATTTCTACAGTCAATGTTGCTCTATAACCCGATATCGTAACCACCAGTTGGATATCTACTCCTTAGATCATAAATTCCTACATCGGGTGCTCAGCTCTACAGCTCTCTTAAAATTATTCCGGTATTTTCCGTTCCTACTCTTCCACTCTACCACTAACACAGAAACCAATCGCGCACACGGAGAAAAGAGGGAAAAACAAAAAGTATTTCTCATCTAATTACTTCTAATCTCTTGACGTATCTTCAATCCATCTATCCCATATTTGATAAAACTCTGCATGTCTATCATAAACCCTCGACATAAGTTCTTCCATTCTCATAATGTAATTCATCTCCCATGCCCACTACATTTCAGGAACCTGCTCTGACCTCCAATATCTGGGGATCACTGCTCTGTAGTGTGTTGAAATTGAGTATATAGGAGGATAGAAAAATTGTACATTTATCTTAAATGTGTTATTCCTCTTTTTTTCCACTGCAAACTGCTTTTGTCTACTGAAGATGCTGTACATACAATGACTGGTAAGTTTCAGGGATCATTTACAGAATATTAAAATGTTCAAATGAAAGAGAGAGATAGATTGAGAGTAACTGGTATAATATCCGATGTTGTATTTTGATATTGTGTATTGATAATTCTTTCCAAAAATGTTAAGAAACAATTTCGGTTCAGGAATCTATTTGGGATGTGTTGCAACTTTAAATTGTACTGAGGACATGTCATTGTATAGTATGCCATTTCTTCTGTGTATGTCATTGTATTGCTTATCACGTACTTGGGGAATGCTGATGCAAAGGACATGGCATCTCTTGCACCTGAACATACACTATATTACCAAAAAGTATTGGGACGCCTGCCTTTGCACACACATGAACTTTAATGGCATCCCAGTCTTAGTCTGTAGGGTTTATTATTGCGTTGGTCTACCCTTTGCACTATAACAACTTCAACTCTTCTGGGAAGACCGTCCACAAGGTTTAGGAGTGTGTCTATGGGAATGTTTGACCATTCTTCCAGAAACGCATTTGTGAGGTCAGGTACTGAAGAGAAGGCCTGGCTCGCAGTCTCCGCTATAATTCATCCCAAAGGTGTTCAGTCGCTTCAAACTCGCTCATCCATGTCTTTATGGACCTTGCTTTGTGCACTGGTGTGCAGTCATGTTGGAACAGGAAGGGGCCATCCCCAAACTGTTCCCACAAAGTTGGGAGCATGAAATTGTTCAAAATGTCTTGGTATGCTGATGCCTTAAGAGTTCCCTTCACTGGAACTAAGGGGCCAAGCCCAACCCCTGAAAAACAACCCCACACCATAATCCCCCCTCCACCAAACTTTACACTTGGCACAATGCAGTCAGGCAAGTACCGGCAACCGCCAAACCTAGACACGTCCATCAGATTGCCAGACAGAGAAACGTGATTGGTCACCCCAGAAAACACGTCTCCACTTCTCCAGAGTCCAGTGGCAGCGTGCTTTATACCACTGCATCCGACGCTTTGCATTGCACTTGGTGATGTAATGCTTGGATGCAGCTGCTCGGCCATGGAAACCTATTCCATGAAGCTCTCTTTGCACTGTTGTCGTGCCAATCTGAGGGCCACACGAAGTTTGAAGGTCTGTGCGCTTCAGCATGTGCTGACCCCGCTCTGTCATTTTACATGGCCTACCACTTCATGGCTGAGTTACTGTTGTTCCTAATTGCTTCCACTTTGTTACAATACCACTAACAGGTGACCGTGGGATATTTAATAGCAAGAAAATTTAATGGAACACCTGAATCCAATGATTTGAAGGGGTGTCCCAATACTTTTGGTAATATAGTGTATATGGAGCTCCTGAAGATAGAATAGGAAGAACCAATGCAGCACAATGACAATAGTGCCTAGGTGTGTTTAGACAACAAAACCATTAGGTAAAAGTAAAAGGACAAGAGTTAAAGCGGAGCTCCAGGCAGATACACATTAAGGCAGCTCTGTATTGATTGTATCATGAAATGTGTTTTTGGGTGCAGTGCAAGTACCTTAGTTTGACTCATTGACTTGCAATCACCTGTACAGCAGAGCTCAGAGTAGAAGAGGGAGAAGCAGCAGAAGGAGCCAGTCAGTTGTGATGCAGTGCTCATTAGCCCGCAAGGCACACGCTAATAGGAGAAGAAAGCAGAGTGACAAATAAGCTAACCAGTCTGCTTCTCCTGTCCATCTACAGGCTGGGGGAGGGACAAGACCTGCATGTTTTAACTAACTGAAGCTGATATAAATTAGGTCTCCTGCCCTGCCAGACAGAGCTGTGTAGTGTGCCAGAACTCTGTAAATCTCACAAGTGGATGGACAGAAATACAATTCCTTTGGAAGGTATAAACAGCTTCTTTACATGCATTTGATGTGTATATTTAGCTGTTTGTCTGGAGTTCAGCTTTAATTTGTAGCAAAACAAAATGTTAGGAGGATATTAGAACTTGTAGTCAGAAACAGGCATGTGGAGCATACAGTAGCTTACTATATGTAAAACATGCTCACATCTCCCCGTCCGGCTCTTAGCAACCTGGGATGCTCTGCTCGGAAAGGGGGTGGAATTCACATTGCAAACATTGTGCAGCAGAGCGGCCATGTGACCCCCCCACCACGTGACCCAAAGAGATGCCACCTGAGGCTGTCTCATTATAGGGACAGCCCTGTGTGTGGGTAAGCTGTAAAACTTCAACCTTGCCAGGAAGTGTTGGAACTTTGCAGATCAGTTTGTTTTTTTCAATGTTAATATTGGATTATGACAGTCCGAGCAATTGAACAACCTTAAACAATAGTTTCTTCCACACAAAGGGTTTTATTAAACAATTGTTTGTAGCATAGCTGATTATCTGTTACTTTTTTATAATTATGTTTTTTCCCCCTGTACCATAAGCCCAGCCAAAAACAATGGAAACTTCCCCAGGTGGGTACAATATGTACACATTTCATATTGCATATTTGTCTGGATTTATTTTAAATTATTTTTAAATTTAGTTCAAACTATTGAATATATACTGTATACTTGAAGATAAAATCACATGATATTTTAAAATTGAGTACCAACAGATTATTGCAAAATGAGGTTGTTTTCCAAATGCAGATACTGACACATGCAATACCCTATGAAAATCATGATGAGAATGTTCAGGCATTTAGGTATTACAACTCTATGTGCCTGCACTTGTACTTCTGACAGAGTCACTTTAATTGCTGTATTGTGTAATGACACTCCAAGCCATTGGACAACATTAAAAATGAGTTTCTTACACAGAAATGGTTTTAGTTCTTATATGACAATAAAAGTAGGGATGCAACAAAATTGAATTTTTAGACCGACACTGAAACTAAAAATTTGTAAGGCTGAAACCAAAAATTACTTTTTTTTTAGTTTAATTACTTTTGATTATTGAAAAGTTTTTTATATGTATTTATTTATTTTTACTTTACTGTCAGGGGCTCTGGGGAAATATTAGGGGTCTAAGCAGATCTCTGTTATTTCCCTTTAAAAAATAGAAAAACAGATTGAGGACACAGAGTCCCCAACCTCTTTTTCTGCAGCCCCTGTTATGAATGAACATACTGAGCTGCTCCTGTCGATTCATTAACTGTGGATATAATATATAATATGAGTTACTATGTTTGCAATCATGATTTAACAGGAAGTGGTGTAGAGCATTGGTGGCAGCAACAATGTTACAAGCTTTAGCATTCTGCAGAATCAGCTGGTCCTCAAGCTCTGCTATCCTATTTTAGGGTGGCTCCTTTCCCTTGCAGGGTCTTGAAGGTGTCTGCATAAATGCACTGACACAGCAAGACAAGTTTGTAGATGGACAACTGCTGGAGACTGTGCTGTCCCCTGTGATCTTGTATTGGACAAGAAGTTCAAGGAAGCAGAGCAGTTGGACTGCAAAATAGGAGAGGTAGAAGCAGGTCAAGGAGCCAGCCAGTTGTGCTGTAGAGTTTGATAGGAGAAGAAAGCATAGTGGCAGCAAAGCTAATCCATCTGCTGCTTATCCTTTCACTGACTAATAACAGGCTGGAGGAAGGAAAAAACTTGTAAGCGTTGGGTCAATAGGAATGTGTGGTTCACCTGTCAAACAATGCCTGGAAGAGTTGACATCCCTTTTGCAGTGTTAGTACTGGGTTATGACAGGTTGGACATGGGGCATTAAAAAAATATTTTTTCCACACAAAGGGTTTTACTACTTTAAATATACTAAATTTAAGATAGAATTGTTCATTAGGTTGCTGATTATTTTTGACTTTTTCATATCTAATATTGTTTTTTTTAGCTGTTTTTTTGCAAGAACTCTCAACGACAGCAGCACCTACCACAGGTTGGTACACATTATGCACACATTTCATAATAACTAATTGTATTGGTTTAATTCATTTTTTTAAGTCTAGTTCAAACAAACATACTGTCCAGTTTAAAAAAAAGATTGATGTGATATTTTAAAACTGATTATCAATTTGATGGTTTCTCATTACTTCCCACAGCTCCGCTATCCTAAAATAAACGTTGTATAAAATATAATCTACTAGGCAGCTGTGACAAAATAAATATTATTATTTAAAAATATGACATAAACAGCGCTGAAATGATGCATGTAACCACAATAAACAATACCAAAATAATTATTACAATACGATTATTATAGGGCTGTGGAAATTAACGATTAATTAATTGATTAATCGTTAAATTTTTAATCGATTAAAATTAATTTGATCAGTAATAAACATGAGAACAGCTGTAACACTCACCTCTCCGCCGGCTTCCGAGTCTTCCGGGAGTCCCGTCGGAGATCCGGTGACGTCACAGACATCGACGTCACCGGACTCCTCCCCCCTTCTCTTCTTTAGCTGACGGAGCCACTGGGGCCGGACAGTGCCCGCATCCCAACACTCTTCACATCCAGCTGGAGCCGGACAGTGCCCGCTCCCCAACAGCCCCCATATCATAATTGGGCCGGACAGAGCCCCCAGCGTGGCCGCATACCACCTCTCAACGTCACCGCCAACCCTGCATCCCACCTTCCTAGTGACGGCCATCTCTCCTAAGATCCCTCAGGAAATCATTACTGAACTGCAGCCACATTCCCGATCTCCTGCTCCGGGTGGCAGCAGAGGTACATTGCTCCACAAAACAGCATGTATACAGTGTATGTCACTTTCCATTTAACCTGCCGTGTTCGAATTGAACTGTGGTTGATGCCAAGCTTTATATATTGTGCATAGACTTGTGTCACCCCGCTGTGGTAGGGGGTTGTACCATCCACAGCCAGATGCGTTATAATTAATCTAAACTAATCGATGAAAAAAAAATTCGATCAATCGAACAAAAAATTTTTAATCAGTACCAGCCGTATATTATTATGAATCTGAATTACAACACAATGAAAAAAAAAAAATCTTTATTTCCAAAAAAACTTCAAATTAAGGGGTTTATTCACTAAGCTGCTAAAGGATCTAGCCATAGCTTTGGCTGATCCTTCGGCTAGCTTCGGCCCCAGGACCCCTTCGGTTCAGTAGAACTGAAGGCCTGCTGTACGTGCTATTCACCATATCCCGTACAGCTCCCGAAGTTGGCCGAGCGGCTCAGTCGAGCCGAAGGCATATGCCTCGGCTCGACTGAGCCGAGGTGAAAGCCGAAGCTGGCCGAATGGCCAGCCATTGGTCGGCCGACAGCCTGCTTCTGACAGTTGGGCGGAGCCAGCCATCATGTCACAGCTGGCTCCGGCCACTTGCAGAGAGATCAGCATCCCTGGTTACCAGGTAACCAGGGAGGCTGTCAATACACACTGAGAACCCGGCCGGGCCGCTATGATATCACAGCGGCCTCTGCGGGTTCTCAGTGTGTAATGGCAGATGGCATCCCTGATTACCTGGTAACCAGGGACGCCATCTGTCATTACTCTCCTGGACGCTCTGGGAGTCTAATACGGCTCCCGGCCGCCCAGGAGAGAAACACTTTCTCTCGGAAAGGTTTAGTTAACCTTTCCTTGCAATCTGTTTTTTTTTTTTTTCTGACATGGGGCCGCTGGTCGCCCTCAGTCAGAAAGAAAAAACACCATAGGAATCTAGATAGCTAGATTCCTATTGGCTATTTCACTTTGCAATAGCCAATAGCAAACTAGCTATTGCACCCGCCCACTGCTGCTGTTTGTTCAGCAGGAGATGGGGACCTGCAGTTCTCCATCATTTTTTTTTTTGGACGGCAGCAGAACCACCTGACCAATAGAAAACAGTTGGGCGGAGATAGCTGTCACCGATAGCTCCGCCCAATCGTTTTCTACTTTTTTTCTACTTTTTTAACTGTTTTTCTATTCTGCTCAGTACAATAGAGGTACCGAGCAGAATAGCCGAGCCGAATCCCGCTCGGCAGCATCCGGCTATTCACTCACTGCTGTTCGGCATCTATGAGAATAGGCCGAACAGCAGCGAGCAGCCTGCCGGGGGTTGGGTTCAGCCGATCCAGATGTTGGATTGGCTGAGTGGAACTCCTTCTGCACTTTGGATTGGCCGAACATGCTGAGCATGTTTGGCCGACCCGAAGCCACATGAAGCCACCCGATGTACGGCTGATTTCAGCCGATATACGGCTAGAATCAGCCGTACAAGCCTGAAGTGAATAGCTGAACAGCGTTCGGCTCACTTCACTTCGGGTCAGTTATTCACTCGGCTGCCGTCGGCAGCTTAGTGAATAGACCCCTAAGTCTAACAACCACCATCAGTGATATAAGCCAAAAACAGTTCACCACCAAGTGAAATGTATCAAATTCTGGAGCTCATTCCCTGGCTCGGGAGTGATAGAGCAGCTATATCACTGGCAAACAAGATATTGTTTTTGACTGAGACTGTTTTTATAGTGTTTGGTGAACTTTTTAAGCGTTCACCAAACACTTTTTAAGCGTTCTTAAGCTCTTTAAGAGTAGGTTTTTTTTGGCCATTTTAATAAAGTGGTGTTTTTTCAGCTATAATGAGGTTTATTTTCTCAGGACTTTCTGCAGTTTAGCTACTGATGATCTATATGGTGATTGGAGCAACAAACAGAGGGAAGCCTTGCTGTTAAACTTGTAAATAATAGCAGGAGCTCCCCGGTGCAACATAGGTCAGTGGTTCTCAACCTGTGTAACCTCAGGACCCACATTTGTCCTTGGTCATTAAGTTGTGACCCAAATTGCACTGCAATGGAACACACAGCATTGGGGTACCGTGCGGGTGTACGAAGTATTGGTGAGTGGTGCGTTTGGGGTACCCTTTAAATGAATAGCAGCGCAACACACATCCCACACCAGAATGCCTGTACTAGTGTAGATGGGCCCTCAAAAACACTGACATACAAACACAATCTCACACACTCACAGACATTCACAAACACATGCACACTCCCAAAAATGTTTTTATTTTTTTATGTCCAACCAGTCTCCCTTACTTATGGGAACTGGAGTGGATCCTCAGCATGGGGTCCAGTGTGGGCTACTGTGCCGTGACGGTCCTCCATCTATATGTGCATTGCTTGTACAGCTCCCTTGTTCGCCCTGTAAAGGTGTTGGGAGCCAGAATGTGACATCATTTTAGTCCATGCACCTCTACAGGACACCTGAGGGAGTTGCAAGCAATGCACTTATGGGTGGAGCTCCCTCTTGGCCATACCCCCAGACCAACCCACCTCAAGCTGACATTCAGTGCCGGGCAGAATATTTTGAATGGCTGCTTGGTGTGAGAACCTACAATGCTGTGCTAGGGGGAGGCAGAGGAGCCTCTCACCTAGAAAAGTGGAAGGCATGTGGTGACCCGCTGAACATGGGGTCGCATCCCACTTTTAGGTCACGACCCACCAGTTGAGAACAAGGGATTTAGAGAATCAAAGTTTATTCAATTGGGAAGATGCTTCTTTGTTGTATTTGAGAACTGTATTGATTATATAATTAACTGTGAATTATTTTTTCCCTTTATTCAATTTTTATGTTTTTCTCATAATATGAATATTATACTATGAAGATAAAAGAATTGTATTGATTATTTTGGAAAATGTATTGTGTTTTCATATGCCATTTCAGCGCGGTTTACACCATATGCATATATTTTGATTGTTTGACTACTAATAGTTTAGTCAGTTTGTTGCTCTCCTTGGTAGCTAATGACATATGGAATAGCTCATGAAAACTAAGAATATTAGAACGTTTTTGCATTTGGACACAGCATCTCTATGTACTTTGACTCAGTAGCTTTGAGGTTTTCTCTAGTTATCAATGGAGCTGGCTCCTGAAACAATTCCTGCTGGCTCCTGGATTGGGCAGACTCACTCCTGAACTCCATATTAAGTGGTCTACGCCTGATTTACATACACTTAAAAAATAAAAATAGTCATTTGGAAGGTTTCCCGATAATTACTTTGGCATATATGATAGTTTTAATTTTTTTTCTACCAGAAGCCTCCACAACAGTAGGAAATGTTATGGGAACTACCACACGTAAGTACAACATTTCACATAGTTATAGTTTTGTTTTTTCCAAATATAGATGAAATTAAAGTACTGTCCACTTTAAATGAGAATTGCTTGACATTTTAAAATTAAATTGTGATTTAACTGTTTGACTTCCAATGGCATGTTTAATAAGTCAAGCTGTTCTTCTACAAGGTAGCCGGTGGTGCGCAGAATGCCTGTGCGTTAAAACAAGCTCACAGTTGAGACAAAGCAGCCAGTAGTCAATGTTCCTGCCCAGGGCCCACATCTTCCTGTTCGAATGGACTTACTAAACAATAGAGTGAATGAATCTTTGTGAGCTTGCCCACACTGTACGAAGTGGAAAAGAGTTGGCACTCGTAGGAATCATCTTAATGGCGTCTGTATTGAAAAGGCATAAAAGGAGCTACAAAAATTGCTAACATTTTTCAGTCCACCAAGGGACCTTAATCATAGCAATAAAATCACTAAAACAAGAGCAATAAATACAAATATCTTGCCATATATGATATGCGTTGTGTGGAAATCCTGCCATATATGATGTCATGCATTGTGTTGAAATCCTGTTTGTTTTACCTGTGTCACTCTCAAGTGTGATGTATCTTTGAGAGATTCAACCCCCCTCTGGTTTAAACTGGGGTATGATAGATTCCCTAAATTTGTCATTTCTTGCTTCAGCATTGAAGGGGTTAACTCCTCGCCAGGTATATGCACATACATGTAGGAGGGTTTTGTCAGTGGGCGTTCCCTTAAGCATTTAAGGTATAATGATATATGATGGTCCCACATATAATGATGGTCCGATGTGAGAGCAGATGACACTCAATTCCCCAGGGCGTGTAGTCTAAGAACCAGCCAGTATTTACCAGTAACCCCCTTATGGGAATTTGGAATTTGCTTCATGCTGACCTCAGGTTGTGACCCCCCGGGTTCACCATGCTCATGCACCAGGGACCCTAAGTCAGGAAGACCTAAGAAAGTAGGACCAGAGCAGATAAGCTAGAAGTGCAGGTAGCAGTGGAGCAGAAATGTTTACAAGGTAATATTCCAGAGGCCAGGGCTGGCTGCGGACACAGATAGTCAGGAACAAGCCAAAGGTCAGGGCAGGCAGCAGATAATGATAACCAGAATACAAGCCAGAGGTCAGGGTGGGCAGCAGACATGAATAACCAGGAAACAATGCGTGAAGTCAATACACAGGAAACAATGGAAGATGCAGGCTAGGTAGCAGGGCGTTTGCAGGGAGGTGGTTGGGAAGCTAACTGGGACACTGAAGACAGCTAGTAATAACATTGCTCTGGCATCAAACCATAAGCTGCAATGTTTTTAAATTACCTGGGAATTGACAGGAAGCCTCTCTGGTTGGATGCAGTGGTGACAGTGTGAGGAAAGCCTGGAGCTGTGCCATTCTGATTGGCTGTGGCATGAAAGCAGACAAAGGAGCCAGAGCTGCCATTTTGATTGGACATGGTCGCAACACTCCAGGTAAAATTCGCCAGATGTGCGCACAGCTGCACACCATTAAAACACAGGGGGTTGCATTGTGAAGGGTAAGTAGCACTGACAGCAAACTTTGGTTATCATAATTAGGGATGGGCTGGATGTTTGGGTCAAACGTGAGTTCGACTTGAACATTGCTAGTTCAAAATTACAGCTCA